TTAAAGCAGTAGGGCCGTTCTCTAAAGCTGTCTACTGACGGAGACTGAACTACTCATATTGGTAATGTGTTCCATGCGGTATTGTAACCGGAAAGAATGAATGCCTGTATGTATCTTTAGATGTATATATCCGCATAATAGTGAGTTGATAGAATTTTTTTGGTTCTAGCTAGGATGGTGTAAGATCTTATGACAAGTCTTATGCACAGTCTATGGACTGATAGTGGTGGCCAATTAAGTGTGTTCATCATGTCACATACACTACTTGTATTATGGTACCCATTGCACACATACTCGTCAGCTCGCCCTTTGAACATTTCAATTTTTGATATTGATTCTGAGGTGTGTGGGTCCTAGACTGAGCAAGACTACACCAGTTTAGGTCGGATAAGTGCTTGGTATGCCGGACTCCTGATATGTTGGTTTGATGCGTTGAGGTGATGTTTTAGGAAGCCAAGAGTTTTGTTACCTTTAGATGTTGTATCATTTATGTGTTTGTCCCACTTTACATTTGATTGAAATGTAAAACCAAGGTATTTAGCAGATGATACTGATTCTTATGTGAGAAGTTGAAGGGTGTGATTATGTTTAAATAGTTGCTTTTTTCTTCGCGACAGATAGGACTGTGCATTTATTGGTTTGAAAAGCCATCAACCAGTCCTGTTCACAATTTGCTACTGCATCAAGATCAGCCTGAAGTTTGTTGCAGTCACTTTGGGATCAGATCAGATCGGCCTGTATATAATACTGTCGCCTGCAATTAATTTAAGTTTGCTATGATTTAGGTAATCTGGAAGGTCATTTATATAGACCAAAAGTAAGACTGGCCCTAAAACAGTACTTTGATGTGACTGGGACGGTGTTTGATGACTTTCCGTTCATGACAACTGTTTGAGGGCGATTTGAAAAGAATGCAGCGATCCAATTTAATGTGAGTCCGGAAACGCCATTATAATTTAATTTGTATAAAAGTCTTTGATCTGGTACCTTATCGAATGCTTTAGCAGAGGCCATTATAATGAGATCAGTTTGAGTGTTGTTGTTTGTGGAAGATAGTTCTTGAATAAAAGATAGTAGTTGTGGTTTGATCGTAAATGTCTAAAGCCATTTTAGAGTTTGAATGTCCCCTTGGTATCTTTTGCCTCTCTTTTGGAGATGGTACAGGGTGCTGTTATTCTCAAGATGGTTAATGATGTGTTTTGTGCCAATATGTTTTATTAACTTGCAGCTTTATGTTTGTCACCATTTTTGAAGACTGGTGCAAAATTAGCATGATTTCAGTCCTGTGGTATTTGTCCAGTTTCGCGTGATATTTTAAATATTATTGTTAAAATTGGTGCTATCTTGCATTTAGTTTAAGATATGGCCAATGATATTGTTGTCTGGACCGGTGACTTTATGAGAGTTGGTGTTGTTAAGGAGTTTTGTTATGCTTTGAAGATACAGTCTATATCGTTTATGAGGTGTAATTTACGGTAAATTTTCATCATGATGATAAAGAGAGGCAAATATTCATCATGTTTAAAAATTGTTATAGGGAACTATTATGTATACAATTACGGTCGTTTTCAAGTAAATATATGAATTAGGTCACGGTATCTTATTCTTCTTTGAACTATTAATCGGTACGTTCGTACATTTTTGTACGAGGTTCACTTGAACGAATGTCCATGACTATGTATTTTATATAATATAATAAGTTACGTTTGGATAACAGTTATTAATGTTAACTTTTAATATTTGCTGAGGTTACTGATAAAAATCAGTTACTATTTGAATCATTGCTGTTATCATTGAAATATTCTACAGTTACGATTATCTCTCCTGTTATTTGTCCACAAGTTACGATTATCTTCTTTTCTAGTTACGATTATTTTCCTGAAATTTTTTATGGCTATTTTTTTGGTAACGAACACATACATACAACAAAACCGTGCAGATCAACCTGGCGGCAGAGTAAGTCATGAAAACAACACATTTACACAGAGAAATTAGCAGAAAACGATTTAGCTATTTCTACCTCCGCCATGTTGGGATCGTGGTAACCACGATCAGTTTAATACCAGTGTATTATTAGTGGGTGGTTTTTGTTGATATTTTCTGGGAAAGTAAGCTATTGGGGGTTATAGTAAACATTACATGATGAGTTATAACTGAATATTCCAAAAAATGTATTATGTTACTTCAGTTAGGTACATGCAGGAACCGCCTAAGAATTACAATGAAACATTGTAAACCACCGAGGATGGCTGCAATAACAACTATCATAACTTAATCTTAAAAAATTTAGAGTTCTTTCCTTTCCACGTTGCAAAATATACACTAATGTAGACTTACATTGATTTGAAATGCTTTACAGTAACCATAAAACCCCGAAAAGGAATCAAAATAACAATATATATTATCAAGAGCGTAACCTTCACCTTAGAACATATAACCTGTATCAACGTCATTAGTCTCCGATGTCACTGCAAAAAACCACATGGGTGTATAATCTTTGGTTTAAGAGTTATAGCTTGAAATGTCTTTTAACAAACTCTCAATGAGGTAACACCCCTTAAGTTTGTTGGAGGAAGGTCAAACCTCTTAGGTCAAAATAAAACATGGTGTCCATTAATGACCAAAATATTTCCCACTATTCAAACCTTAATAAGGTTGAAGATCCATTTAGCTTAACATAATATCTAAATATGCAGTCATGTCAGTCAGAATAGAAACGTTAGATCCATAACCTTGATTTAAACAGCAATTAAAACTGCCTTATATGTGTCCTTGTTCAATGCACATGTTATGTTGCATTCGTGTCTTACAAACACAGATTTTATTTTTTTCTATTATGACTTACAATTCACAAAACACAAGGAAGACCCCTCTATAGGAATGCACGAAAACACTTGAAAAATGTTGTTTTGGTCTGGAATCTTTGGGCTGTTTTCCTGTCCATTATGGTGAATCATTATTATTGTAAAATTTCATCAATTGGTAGTCATCTTAATATTACGTGACTTTCTTATGTCTAATGTATTACTAATGAAATAGAGATTATAAAACGTTTAAAAGGAAACAGACAGAAATAAAATGATTCACGGATAATAATATTTTTGATGTCGTTGATGACGGAACCCTGTTTTCGATATACTCCAGTCAGGCTTAAGATTATGTTTAATCACTTGGGTTTAACCATTCCTGACGGAGATGAATTCAGAAAAGCGCTTCGAACACATGAAATATATAAACTGTTGTTTTCATTTACTATTATTAGTTCAATACCACTTATGAAAGACAAAAAGTCCCTCAGAGTATCATTAGTGGGTGGTTCTTGTTGAGCAATCTTCAGTTTACATGCGTTCAAATTTATACTAATTAACAATTTATTGAAAACAAACCAAGTTTTCTAATTTTTATGACAGTATATATATATATATATATATTTGCTCTATCTCATCTAACAGCATTGCCAAAATCTAATTATTTGAGGGGGACTTGACACCTGCCTATTTTTTACAGGCATTTTGAAACAAACATTTTGTACACTTCCTTTCAAATTTGTATGTCAAATATTAAACAAATAAAATTATGTCGTAAGTCAATAAACAATCAAATACTCACCAATTTTTTTCTTTTGCTTCTCTGTTTTTGCATGATATTTGATTTGTTTGGGTACAACTAAAATTCTTAGAGACTTAAGATAATAGTATATAATATATTTATTGTATATCGTCTAACAGCCTTGCTGAAATCTAATTATAACCAAAACCTTTATCAAAGAAATTAGTCATCGATGTCACTGCAAAATATCCCACGGGTGTAAAATTGTCTTTTAACAAAGTGTCAATTAGGTTATACCCCTTAAGCATGTTAAAAGAAGGTCACATTTCTTAGGTCAATATAAAACATAGTGTCCATTTATGACCTAAACATTTCCCACTATTCAAACCTTACCGAGGTCAAACATCCATTTAGCTTAACATGATATCTAAATATGCAGTCATACAGACAAGGCTTTTATTTTTTTTTTCAATTATCACTTACAATTCACAAAAGAAAAAGAATATCCCTCTATAGTTATGCATGAAAACACTTGAAACATTTTGTTTTGGTCTGGGAATAAATGTTACCGTGTCCATGATGATGAACCATTATTAATGTAATTTTTTTTTCATTTGGTAGTCATCTTAGTATTACGTGACTTTCTTATGTCCAATGTATTTCTAATGGAATAGACATTATTAAACGTTTAAAAGGAAACAGGCAGAAATAAAATGATTCACAGATAACATTATTTGTTATGTTGTAGATGACGGAACCTTGTTTTCGATATACTCGAATCAGGCTTAAGATTATGTTTAATCACTTAGATTAAACCATTCCTGATGAAGATAAATCCAGAAAATCGCATCGAACACATAGATTATACAAAATGTTGTTTTCATTTACTATTATCTGTCCAATACCACTTATGATGAACAGGAAGTACTAAAGGGTATCATTAGCTCAGTAATTAGTTAAATGGTACTGACATTAGTTATAACATATATTTTTCTAAATGAAGAAATAACTAAGAATCTTGTGTTCAAACTCTTTCAGATAAAGATGACCTTAACCGAATTTGGATTTACTATTAATACCCTATTGGTAATTCTTGTCGCAACGTTCGTACATATTTATACATTCCTTTTTCATATGTCATATATTATTAATGGGTGGTTTTTGTAGATCAATCTTCAGTTTACATGCGTTCAAATCTATACTAATTACACATCTACTGAAAGCAAACCTGTGTTTTCTCATTTTTATGACTGTAGATATATATTTGCTCTATCTCATCTAACAGCCTTTGTGAAATCTAATTATTTGAGGGGGACTTGACATTTGCCTTTTCTTTTACAGGCATTTGAAACAAAAATGTTGTACATTTCCTTTTAAATTTGTATGTCAAATGTTAAAATACGTAAAACAAACAAAATCAGTTGTCAGTCAATAAACAATCAAATACTCACCAAGTATTCTCCTGTTCGTCTCTGAAAAAAGACAAAAAGAAAACAAACTTACGTTTTTTGATACTGTTTTTGCATGATATTTGATTTGTTTGGGTACAACTACAGTTCTTAGAGACTTAAGATAATAGAATATAATATATTTATTGTATATCGTCGTACAGCCTTGCTGAAATCTAATTATAAGAAGGGGACTTCTCACCTGCTTTTTATTGACAGGCATTTTGAAACAAACGCTTTTACTCTTCCTTTCAAATTTTAATGTCAAATATAAACATATGTAAACAAATATATTTCATTAACCAATAAACAATCAAATACTCAAGAAGTTCTTTATCTCCCTTTTCTGAGAAAAGACAAAAAGATAATGAAATTTTACTTTATTTCATACTTTTTTGGTTGATACTTGTTATGTTTGGTTTCAACTAAAATTCATTAAGACTAAAGATAAGAATACAAAACTAACATGTCCCTTTGAGTAATACTAATCTTTGAAATAGTAAGTATATCTTGTTTCGCATGTAGCATACATTAATTTTTAAAATCAAGTATGAACACGCGGCACACTTGACACAAATACTGCCAGTTGTCTTGCAACACTTTACTTTTGTTAGCAAGCAATTGATGGCAATTATTAGTTTTATGAAGTGATGAATAAAATGAGTTAAAATGTTATCGTAACTGGGTTGGTTTAAGATAACAAATTAAACCGAACACAAAATTAAGGTATGAAACAACAGCAAATATTTTTAAATCGAATAATCTGACAGTAAGATACATGAGATATAACGAGTATCATGCAAGATAAATGATATTATTTTCATAACAAAATGGTAAGGGTTGTTAACGATCAATTATTCAATAGTTTTCCTCTGACGTTATATACATTGTAAAACGATTGTTCTAATGGCTAGAAATATAATCAACGTCGTTTCACCTTCAGTACAAATGGTTGTGATCTCATTTTGGAAAGTAAGCTATATGGGGATTATAATGAATATGATATGATGAGTTATAACTGAATTATTCAAAAGATTTGTTTTGTTACTTAGGTTAGGGACATGTAGGAACTGCCTGTGGTTTACAATGACACTTTGTAAATCACTAAGGATGGCTAAAAAAAATATTATAACTAAATTTTAAATAATTTAGAGTTCTTTCCTTTCCACTATGTAAAATATCCACTGCTGTAGACTCCAATTGCTTTGAAATGATTTAGAAGAACCATAAAATCCTAAAAAGGTATCAAATTAACAATATTCATTATCAAGAGCGAAGCCTTCACCTGAGTACTTATAACCAAAACCTTTATCAAAGTAATTAGTCTTCGATGTCACTGCTAAATTCCCCACGGGTGTAAAAATGTCTTTTAACAAAGTGTCAATGAGGTTATACCCCTTAAGCATGTTAAAGGAAGGTTGCATCTCTTAGGTCCATATAAAACATGGTGTCCATTAATGACCAAAACATTTCCCACTATTCAAACGTTACCGAGGTTGAACATCCATTTAGCTCAGCATAATATCTAAATATGCAGTCATGTCAGTCAGAATAGAAACGTTAAATCCGAAACCGTGTTTTTAACAGCAATAAAAACTGCCTTATTTATGTCCTTGTTCAATGCATATGGTATGTTGCATTAATGTCTTACAGACAGGGATTTTATTTTTTCAATTATGACTTACAATTTACAAAAAACAATTCTCGCTTAAAATGCATAACATGGAGAAAGGTCATTCTTGACTTAGATTTTTTATCTATATAAATGTTCTGGTTGTTCTTACTATCTAAAGTATCTTTCTATCTATAACAATGTCGATGATAATAACAATTACACAGCTGCTACAAAAGTGCCTGACACATCCTTATTGTGCATATCGGAAAAGTTGCAAGAACAAATGGGATATTTCGGTGGCATTTTAATCATAAGCAGATGAAAGTGGCTCTGTAGCAAAAAAAAAAACATGTCAGAGAATACCGTTTTTTTTTCAAATCGAACAGTTTGTTATGTTCACCAATGCCATCATTCATTTAAAGTTTCCACTAAATCAATCCAAGCAAACTCAAGTTAGGGTACAATATGTGAAAAAATAATAAAATCTGACAATTAAAGTTCTTTAACTCTAAAGGGACAAACTGGAACATTTGAAAAACCAGAAAAGAATTTTCTATTAACCCTTTCAATAATAAAGTAAATTTTGAGGAAATCAATTCAGGAATACTGGAGTTAGTGCGCGATTAGTGAAAAATTGACGTTAATATAAAAGTCAAAGTTCTGGAATTCTGAAAGGACAAGGCAAAAAAAAAGGCAAAGACTATAACAAATCGATTTTGAGCTATAATGTTGTGTTGATTTATACGAGAATCGGTTAAGCGAATATGATTTATCGTATTAAGTGTTAACGGACGGATGGACGACGAACGGACAGTAGTATACCTTTCTTCGAAGTGTGTATTAAAACTAACGCATTTCCAAAATACGGACATTTCTGAAGCAATAATCCGAAAACGGATAGTAGGATTGAAAAAAATCTAAACAAGACTGATCATTTTTACCCCATGTCAGATTTACTGTCACTGTTTTAGTTTATGACATAAAAGCCAAAAACATTCAAAGTTAATGGTAAAGGTAATTTGCAATGGACGCATGATGTTATCCATGAAATTTACTTATTATTCAAGACACTGCAGTTGACGTCATGGTCATTGGCAACATACATTTGTATGTCTACATCTCTTATAACACTGTTAAGGGAAGAGAAGGTACTTGCTAATGCAATCTCTTATAATGTTGTGCAGTTGTATTTAGGACTGTTATTCTTTTATTATTGAGTCATCGTGATGTCTATATTCTTTGAAAGGTAGGTTTTGATTTCCGCCTTGGAATATTTTTCATTTCTTTTTAACTAACGTTCACAAAACGTTTATGGATTGCATTATATACATTTCAAAAGTATAGGCCCTCATCAAAATATTTTGATTCAGTTGTCTTCCTGAGAGCATTTACCACAATATGCACATGATGGTATAAAAGACGCTGCATATCAGCCTGGTATAGATTTATGAGACAGTATTTTATCCAATGTATTACAATGACTTTGATAATAGCAGATAATAGTTGATGAACTTTCTTTACAAGCAGAATGCCATAAATATTTTAATAAAGTTTCAAGAAATGAAACCAAAATTGATGACAGCCTTACTTAGACCTCAATATTTATGATTATTATATAGTAATAAATATTTGTTTGTTTATTTAAAAAAAAACACCCGAGAAAAAAACCGTGCAATAAATCTCTGTATTTGCACGCATTTCCGGGAAAAAGCTGAGGCGTTCCGAAATCGACATGCATATTATTGCATCCTTTGTTATCGTCTGGGAAAACAAGATGGCGGACGCCGGTCATACAGATAATTTGACAGCGACGCCAGAGTCTATGATTGATAAGCAGATGGTCATTAGCTTTATTGATGATAAAAAGAAAAAATCAACAGTTAATTGCACGAATCGTGACTTGAAATTATTATGCAAATGGCTGGTTGGAAAGGGTGAGTTGAAATCAATCGAGAAAATCCCTCACAATAAACTTGATGATTGATCCTTTCTTGTCTGAATTCTACATAACCTTAAAGAAAGAAAATGGCCAGGGATATGAACCGGGGACGTTCGACGGTATTCGTGCCAGTATTGAGAGGCATTTAAAGGACAAAGAGTACTCTCATTCAATACGTGACAAGGAATTTAATTTGTCAACAAAAGCACTTTCTGCAAAAAAGGTCCAGTTGAAAAAAACTAGGAAAAGGACATAAGCCGAATGCTTCAAAGGCAGTAAGTAAGGACGAAGAAGATTTGTTGTGGGAACAGGGTCAGCTCGGTGATGGTACACCTAGAATACTTATATTTTCTCTCTGGTACTATTTTACAAAATGTTTCGGACTACGTGGTAGAAATGAACATCGGCAAAAACAATTGGGAGATATTTTAATGAAGAAGAACCCTGTGGATAACCGACAGTATTTAGAGATTTCTAAGAGACTTACGAAAACTCGTGATGGTACCAAGGGAAAAGAGAATCGCAAAGTTAAACCGAGAATGTATGAAAATAAATCTGATCGCTGTCCATTACAGTTTTTTAAAGCGTATCTTCTTCGACGTCCAGAAAATGCAATGGAACCAGAGTCACCGTTTTATTTGACGTGTATTCCAATGGAAAGAGTTGAACCCATTATATGGTTTTACGCAAGGCCTATGGGAGAAAATACGCTGGCAAACGTGATGCCAATGGCCGCAAAAGAAGCTGGGCTGGTACGAGAAACAACCCACAGTGTGCGTACAACAACAATAAAAACGCTTCGCAAGGCATGTGTACCTAGAGACAAAATTAAACATATATCTGGTCACAAAAGTACAAGTTCGATTGAGGTTTACGATGATGATCTCTCCGATGATGAGCAAAGGGAATATTCAGATGTATTAACTGGTATTAAATCGTCACTTGGACCATCAGTGACCGCAAATGAAAGTGACAATGCATATAACAATGTGGCTTTACAGAAGATTGACCGTCCTACTGTTTCACAACAAATTAGCCCACCGATTGCCACATCTTCACAATCTGTCTGTTCTTATACTGCTGCGCCTAATAATATTCATGAACAATCTTCTAAAGGTGCGTCGGAGGCATTATCTAACATGTTCAGTAAAGGCACTGTTTTAAATAACTGTACTTTTAATATTAACTTTAACATGGAACAGTCAAATGGAGAAAGTCAGAGGCATTCTAGGCCAAATTACTGTTATGAACCGCCAAGGAAAACATTCAAGCGAATACTTCCGTTGGAATCTTCGGACGAATCCCAAGAATTCTAGACCAGAGACTATTTAAAACCTATGTGGAATTTAAGGACACTGTTTAATTGTTGCAAATTGTTAGATTAATATTACTTAATTAAATTGTTGAAAACTGATTTATTTTCTAAACAAATACAAAAAAGACATCAATTCAATAATAAATTACATGTAC